AAATTTAAATACCATGTCAACTATTCTACAAGTCATTGATGACAATGTGTTTCATTTTAAATTTTCATGTGTCTAGATGGCCAGTATGCCAACCCATCTAGTTATACTTAATAACTCCTTGGTATACCCATCTCATTAGTCAAAGTGAAATATCTAGTATAGTAATGTTCCTTTCCTGCATTAAAAAGGGTATTTGTTAAAATATAAAATAATTTTAGGTTGAGTTTGGATGAGTGAATTTGGGTTGAGAATTTAAATTTAAAATCTCACATTTAAAATTTATAGATTCTAAATTTTTTATCTGGATGATATAAAAAATTTTAAATTATAATATTAAAATCCATTGTTTGAATCTTGAGTAAAATTCTAAATTTTAAATTCTATGTTTGAATTTAAAAGCAAATCAAACAACACCGGCAGTCTAAACGATTAACTTCCACCGGATTCGAACTGCCAGCGCCGATCAGGATTGAACGAGAGACTTCTATCAAGAGTATACCACTAGCGACGACTAGGACCAAATGACCGACTTCCACTAGGACCGAATTTCCTACACTGATTGACACAAGATTGCCAACATCGATCAATATCGAACTGCTAACACTGATAGGGATTGGACAGCCAACTGCAATTACGATTTGACAGCCGACTTCCACTATGATCAGGATTGGTGACATCAATCGGGGCCAGATTGCCAACCTTGATGGGGACTAGACCTTTGACAATCTAGTTCCCATTGACGTCAGAGGTTTAATCCTAGTTGAGGTTACCAGTTCGATCCAATTCAAAGTTATTAATCTTGATCACGGTAGGATTTAGTTGTTTGCTCCTAGTCGCATATGGCTATCCAATGTCGGTCGATGTCGAAGGTCTTATCCTGGTCAAGGCTTGTGATTCGATCTTGATGAAAATTAGCTGTATGGTTCTAGTCATCACCAGCAGTATGATCTCGGTAGAAGTATGCCATTTGATCTCGATCACGGGAAGTGATCCAATTCTAGTAGAAGTTTGCTATCCAATTTTAGTGGATGCCAGTGATTCGATCCCGGCAAAAGTCAACGATCCAGTCTTGGTCATCGCTTGCACTTCAATGCTAGTCGGTGTTGGTGGTCTTATCTTGGTGGAAGTTAGCCGTTCGATTTTGATCGACGATGGCAGCTAGATCGTAGTCAGCAGTGGTAGCAGTCCAGTCTTGCTCATCACAAGCGATTTGGTCCTTTTTGGCGTTGCCAATAGGCTGGTTAAATTACAAAGAAATTGAAGTAAGATTTGAAATAACAAGGTTTAGAAAGGATTTCAAATTATAAAAAAATTGAGATATAACTTAGATTTGGATTTGAGTCAAATCCAAATTCATACATTTTTAGTGACCCAAATAATGAATTTTGTTTAAATCTAAATTCAAATCTATTTGCATCCAAACACAGCATTAAATAATTAACTAATTTTTTGATTTGTATGAATTAGCTGACCCGACTTATAAATGAAAAAAAGTTAATATTAACTTTTTTTTGTCATTTATTTCTATTTCAATTGAAGAGATCACTTGTTCCCATTATCATCGGAACTTTTTTGCACGTTCCCCCCCTCTATACTGTGACCTTGAGGATCTCCTCCTTTGTCCAATTCTAAGTTGTGTTGTCTTTATGTCTTCTCTTTATCTTTATGAGTCATTTTAAATTTCCTTGCTCAAAGTCCACGATGGTAACCACTAACCAAAGTTTTAAACAACCACGATCAGATTTACTGCAACTAATTTAATATATTTTTAATAAAAACATTTAAAATTAGGTGAAGTTTGCATGGCATTTGCTTTCAAGTGTTTTGAAATTTGAAGTTTGTCTTTTGATATCTTGTGACTTGGAATTCTCATGTATTTTAGCTTTATGTTATTGTAAGTTGGAGTCTTTGTTTACATGTGGCGTGTCAAGAATGTTAGAAAAATAACCTTATCCTGCAGAGTCTGTATTGAAATTTGTACTTTGGATAGAAGGGGGCCAAGATGTCTACAAATCCTCATTCACTTGTACATATAGAGGAACAAGCTTGTAAGATATATTTCCTCTTATGAATTGTAGTGTGTGTGTGTGTTTTTTTTTTCATGAGTTCTTTCTAACTTTCTTTTATTCTCCTAAAAGTTTGTATTGTTAATATTTTGGCGGAGATTTAATTATACTTTGCACTTGACTTTTTTAAAAGAAAAAGTTGTACATTGGAAAGAATATAATCATGATTCATGAGGAATTAAGTTCTATGAGTTTAATTTTACATTTAAATGCTGCTATTATAACTTGACCTTGGTTTAGTACATATTAAGAGATTGAATTTTAGTGTTTAAATATTGATAACCCTAATGTGGCCCTAGCTCAATGCATGAGCAAGTAAGACCTCACCTAGATTATAGCATTTAACTTGATAAGCATAATCTTTTTGAGTTCAAAGCAGCAAAGTGAGGCCTTATTTGAATTATAGTATCTAAATAAGATAAGCCTAATCTCTCTGAGGTTAACTTGAGGTTGTTAATAACGAATGGTAACTAAATCCAGCACCGCGGTTGATGTCATGATAAGAATTTTATTAATATTGACAATATACTTATCCTTTTAGAAATTTTTTAATCCTCTGACTAATTAAAGTTGTTGTTTGCTCTAAATTATCAAAATTATCTGCATACTTTTAGCAATTTTTTAATCCTCTGACTAATTAAAGTTGTTGTTTACTCTAAATTATCAAAATTATCTGCAAGGGGCAACCGCTAAAACTACACTTTCAAGAATAAACAAATCAGTGTCACACGCGCACACACAGTTCCACCTCGTCCCTATATAAAGCCATTTTGCGCTAGCATATTCTCATCACTACATATCTCACTCAAAAAATCTCTGAAATTGCCTGAGACATTATTAAAATGAGTAGCCGCAGCCTCCAAAGTTTATTCCTCGTACTCTTCATTATCGTCTTCTTCATCATTCCTTCTATCCATGCAACTCAAACCCATCTGCCAACAGTTCCAGACAGTCTCGGAACCCACCATGTTTTCCTTCACAAAGTTTCTGAATTGAAAGCCCACGCACAAAAATTCCAAGAAACCCAGCTCCACCCATCAACCCTTTTGGTTGTAGCAGGAATTCTCTGCTTCATAGCTTCCTCCATATCCAGTGCTGGAGGCATAGGAGGAGGTGGGATCTTCGTACCCATTCTCACCATTGTCGCTGGCTTAGACCTCAAAACAGCTTCGAGCCTGTCGGCTTTCATGGTCACAGGAGGTTCTGCTGCGAACGTTCTCTGCAGTATGTGTACAAAGAGTCCAAAGTATGGTGGGAAGACATTGATTGACTATGACATAGCTCTTTTATCGGAACCTTGTATGCTGCTAGGAGTGAGTGTTGGAGTTATCTGTAACCGCGTATTCCCCGAGTGGCTGATCACTATTCTGTTTGCTGTTTTTCTGGCTTGGTCCACGGCCAAGACATGCAGAAAGGGGGTTATGTTTTGGAAGAAGGAATCGGAAGAGATTACGAGGAAGAGTAACGTTGGGGTCGGGCAAGTCGAGGAGAACAGAATGGGACAAGAAAATAATGGAGATTTGACGATCTCTGAGGAGCCTCTTTTGGGTCGTCGTCATCAAGAGAACCATGACAGATTGAGGCTTCCTTGGCTCAAACTAGGGATCCTGCTTTTGATCTGGTTTTCTTTCTTCACCCTCCATCTTCTTCTTGGCAACAAGTATGGACAGGTATGGATACTTTGCTCTTCATGACTAAAGATTGAGAACATAATTATTAAAAAGAATTACATTGAAGTCTTATACAAAAAAATTAATCACTACAAAATTCAAAATTCATTGACTGCTAAACTAAGATTGTTGAAAATTGATTATTAAGTAATTTCTTTCTGTGAAAACTGAACGTAATTCTTCCTAATTATTAATTTAACTGCATTTGTCTACTTACATGTTATGTTTGGACGCTTGGTGAACTGCCAATATCTTGTGATATTCTGCTTTAAATTTTATATGGAAATAAATTTCTCAAGATAATGATTAAAAAATTTAATTTTTAAAAATGTCACATGAGAGGATTTGATCTATCGCCTGTAAAGTAGTGGGTTTAAATTTTGCTGCAAATATATGGATCTTGTTAGTCCTAGTCAATAATTATTTTGTCAATACAAGTCAATTTTGGAGTCTTTATGCTACCCCTTAATGCGGTGGTCCTACTGTCCCAGCTACATCAAAATCTCTGAAGCGTGCTAGTGCAAATGGTTAGTTGGCATAGGTTCTGCACCATTCTTTATTCACGAAGAACAAACTCACGCAGTAAAAATACTCAAATACATGCGATTAATCAGCTGATGCATGATACTTCTAATAACATGTTTGGAAACAAAACAGATGAACATTGTTTTAGTGAAGTTGATCGTTAAATGCCATTGGAACTACTTTGAATCTTACATGTTTCGAAAATGATGAACTATGTGCAGAGTATAATTCCAATGGAGCCGTGCGGGGTGGTATATTGGATTCTCTCATCAGTTCAAATACCTCTCACTGTAATTTTCATTTATTGGATCGTATCCAGGAAAGAGAGCCATCAAGATCAGCCTCTAACAAGTCAGGTAGGTTCCCGAACCTCACTGCCTAAAAAACAAAGCTTTTCAGCCTGTTTGAATTGACATTATAATCGATTTTGGACCCAAATAATCAATTTTTAGAAAAATTACTCAAATAGCAACAAAAAGTTGATAATTGATTACTATGCTATAATCACATTTTGAAATAAGTTCTAAAGAGGTTGTTTATAGATTCAATTTTACTGTTAAATTATATATTTTACTTCTTAAATAAAGTTTAACAAATTTAATAATATTAAATATAACTTTATCAATAATTTAATTTTGAAAAGCAATGTCCTTTATGATAATTTATACAACTAAAATTAATTTCAGTATTCAAACAGATTGCATTATAATATAATCAATATAATTAAAAATCAATCATATTAATCAATTATTTTCATAATCAATTATACCAACTGAAATCTAAACAGGCTCTTTCACTATTTCAAACAAGCAATTGAAGTATAGCTAATCTCATTCCAATCGACATTACAGGACCAGGATTTGACTGGAGATGGACGGCCAAATAAGCTTATCTTCCCAATAATGGCACTGTCAGCAGGTCTTCTGGGTGGTGTCTTTGGAATTGGAGGTGGAATGCTGATAAGCCCCCTTCTTCTTCAAGTTGGAATGGCACCTGAGGTCAGTTCCCTTACATTACAGTTTTAAACTATCATATATATATATATATATATATATCAGCCAGCTTAGTTGGTAGCAACTGAGAAATAATTTTGTTTATATAGGTGACAGCAGCAACATGTTCTTTCATGGTTTTCTTCTCTTCCACAATGTCGGCGTCACAGTACATGTTGCTAGGCATGGAACATACAGAGACAGCACTAATATTGGCAGTTATATGTTTTGTGGCATCAATGCTAGGTTTATTGGTGTTGCGGAAAGCAGTCCACAAGTATGGTAGAGCATCCTTGATAGTTTTCGCAATCGGCATGGTTATGGTTTTAAGCATTGTTCTGATGACCAGCTTTGGAGCCATTCAGGTTGGAGGGACTATAAATCTGGGAAATACTTGGGCTTCAAACTGCCCTGTTAAGGGTCAAGACAATTGTGTTTACTTCAGCTTTGTGTTAGCCTGCTAGAACTTCTACTCAGTAGTATTGTAACATGTCTACATGGTTATCACCTCATGCTAAGATTATGGACACTTTGGCTTCTGCATGAGCAATAAGATATAAAAGGATCATTTTAGCAGACTCTGGCCATTAAATTTGTTGATCAGATCATCATTTGTTGTTTTTAAGTCAATCCACAAAATCATACTCATTACTCATTTGTAAATGAGTATTAACAATAAAAATTACCAAAACCAAAGCTACTCTAAATATCAATTCCGGCTCGAACTAGAACTACATCCAGAAGCTGTGTATTGAATAAAAGATAACACTCAGAAATCAATGGGAGCACTTCCAACGCAAGATTATCAAATTTTCCCGATGTGAGAGTAAATTAAATTTGCAGAAATAAAAGAAGAGCCTTTTCTCATAAAAATATTATTGAAACTTGAAAGGCTAGAATACACAACCTTTACCAAGTTTTAGGCGACTGGGGGACGAAGTAGATGGTCCTGTGAGGTGTCAACAGCAGCAGGGGGTAAGAACTGCCACATTGAAACTCCTGGGTAACGAATGAATGGCACCATCTTGCCCCCAAGAACTGGTCCTGGTGTTGGAAATGGAGCTGTGAGGGTGGGAGGGTGAGGCAGGAAGCTTGGTTGTGAATTCAAGGCTTTGACTTGCCGCTCAATGTTATCTTTCTCCCA